CCGTTTTTTGTCAAAAAAAACCCAAGGGCATGCATAGCCTTAGGAGGCTCCTGGGGGCTGGGGAGGCAAAATTGAGCAAAAAAATGCTGTATTCAGTGTATAAGATGCACCCAGATTTTCAGCCTCTTTTTTGAGGGAAAAAGTTGCATCTTATACGCCAAAAAATACGGGTAGATAACATCATCAGCAGGATTTTGTCTTGTCTTGTATGGCTGTGATCAGTTGGTTGTGTGATTACACACAAGACATTTATAAGCTAAAGAGGAACAGGACAAGAAAACCCTGCTGAAGATGTTACCTAGCCTGGTAACAAAACGTTCAGAAACTAAATTGAAAGAAACTTGGAGGGGGAACCCCTGCCAAAATCTAAAACCCGAGCTACAAGTATTTCTTATGATTTCAATGTAGTTTGTTCTCAGATATTTATTTAAAAGGGAGGCATTCCAGGTCAGCCTGAATAGGTGGAGGCAACACACAGGTCGAATATGATTGCTATTTTGCCATTGTTTCTATGGAGAAAGAAAAGTCTTCACATTCCTGCAATTGTTTTGTGTTGGGAGAATTATTTTCCAGGAACCAACAAACCTTGACAAAACAAAATTTCTCTGGGCTGTTGGTTTATGTGAAATTTATATTCTGTGCAGGAGAAGAGAGAATGGAACCTTTATATCAACCTAAATGAGCCTCCATTCTGAATTAGTTAGGGAATGGGGTGTGTATTCACACCCAATCTTAATTCTTCAATACATAGCAAGGTTTGCAGCAGTGTACATCTGTGCCCATGTGTGTAAAAATACATCTACTTTATTTGCACACTGCAAGGAATGGAACCTAACCCTAAAGATTTTTATTTTGCTAAAATAAATTTTTAATAGATTTTTATTTTGCTATGAAAAAGATCAAGACAACCCAAAAACAAAAACAAATTTCTTCCATCCTTTGGTAGAGATACTGTGTGATTGATTTCATTCTATTGCATTAGATGTGAGTTGCAGGCCTTTGCAAGTTAGATAATTTCCTTCGGATGGATGGATGGATGGATGGATGGATGGATGGATGGATGGATGGAAGGAAGGAAGGAAGGAAGGTAGGTAGGTAGGTAGGTAGGTAGGTAGGTAGGTAGGTAGGTAGGTAGGAAGACAGACAGGGATGGATGGATGGATGGATGGTAGGTAGGTAGGTAGGTAGATAGACAGACAGACAGGGATGGATGGATGGATGGATGGTAGGTAGGTAGGTAGGTAGATAGACAGACAGACAGGGATGGATGGATG